CTTATAATGTGTCCTTATGTCGCAGATGTATAATAATTAAAAGTCATTCATCTGTAAAAGTTTATACCTTTCTGCAATATTCATCAGAGACACATGAGATTTGACGGGAATTCAAATATTATGAGAAACTATCTTGGAGAGAAGATTGTCGCCAAGATTTATATGTAAAAAAATCAAAATGATAATTAATTGTGAAAATTTAATACATAATTGGACCTCAAATTCGAAAAAAAAAATATTTAGATGGAGCTAAATATATTATCAATCCAAGTATGTAATCAATAAATATAATATGTCTTCTGAATTTGTAGTTATGAAGGCTTTAGCGGAAATTTATCATATTAGTTAATAGTATATAATTTCTCTCATTTCTTTGGCTTGATTTAGTAATAGAAATTTAAGTTTTAATAAAATTTAAATAAGTTTCATGAATCTAAAAGGCCTCCTAATGTTTGATCTTGGAACTAATTTGTGAAAATTGATCTAATGGCATTTAAGTAACGACATATGTCATGTGACCTGATTCCAATCCAAGCAAGTTCAATCTTTTTGAACTGAATTAAATTTCAAGTTTGGCAATATATAGCCATGGTAATCATATTAGTTATTATCACATAATGACTCTCATTTTCTTGGCTTGATTTAGTAGCACATAAATTTTTATTTCAACTTGTATTCTTAAGTTTCATTAAATCCAAATGGTCTCTAAGTAATTGATCTTAGACCAATTTGTTGAAATTGGTCTAATGAAGTTTAAGTATTGTCATATGACATGTGTTATAGTCCAAATAAGTTCAACCTTTTTGAATTGAATTAAATTTCAAGTTTGGCAATGTATAGTCAAAGTGATGATATTACCTAGTACCACATAATGACTCTCATTTCCTTGACTTGATTTAATAGCACATAATTCCTTGTTTCGACTTTCATTCAATTAAGTTTCATTGAATCCAAATGGACTTTTAGTGATTGATCTTAGAACCAAATTTGTGGAATTGATCTAATGGAGTTAGGTAGTGTCATATAACATGTGTCCTAATACAACCAAATCCAACTTATTAAATTAAATTTCAAGTTTGGCAATCTAAGGCCATGGTGATCATATTAATTAGTATCATATAATCTCTCTCATTTTTTTGGCTTGATTTAGTAGCACATAATTTTTCTTTCAACTTTCATTTAATTAAGTTTCATTGAATTTAAATTAAATTGCAATATATATATATATATATATAATTCTGAAGAAAAAATAAGTTCGAAGAAGCTCTCTACATTCAACATTCCTATTTATCTTTTTTCACAAAATTTTGAATTTTCTTTTAAATTTTATTTTATTTTATATGATTTGATTGGAAGTTTTAATATTTAATAATTATAAAATATAAAATAATTATAAATTATCTACAACAAAATAATACCTTGAATTGAATTTTAAATTTAAGAGATCTATATTTATATTTATATAATATGAAATCAAAAAATAAGTTCAACGAGCTCTCTCCATTCAGTATTCATATTTTTCTTTTTTTTACAAATTCTTTAGTTTTTTTTTATCTTTTATTGTGATTTTATTGAGTCTTAATATTTTCTAAAATCATTATATAAATTTGATTATGTACAGTAACAAATAATTATTTGAATTATGAATTCTACCTAGAATTTAGCGATTAGATCATTATCTCTTATCATCTATAAATTACATCATGAAAACAGATTGCAACTCCATCATCAACGAATGTATTAGGTAGAGAATGTATTTATTTGAAGTAGGTGTAATTATTTGTTATTTGATTCTTTTTTTTTGAAAAAATTTTGTTATTCCAACAGAGAATGTATTATCTGCAGTAGGGATAGTTTTTTTGAGTATCGTAGTAGGGATAATTATTCAATTCATTGTATTTAGTAAAATAGAGATTGGCTCATATCTATATTTTATAATTTCAGCAGATATTTATCTCGAACATATAAATTCATAAAATATCATATGCTATCTTTGATCTTCCAAGATGCATACGAGAAAAGGTTTAATCTTCCTCCATGTCTTAGACTCCTTCCAGCATCTGGTTTGATTTAACCAAAAGCTAGCTCTTAGGCAAAAAACGACCTATTAGGGGATTCACGAGCATATGGTTATGCATCAACTACATAGTATCCCAGAGTTAATATTTGCAGTTTCCTATGAAAATGCATCTTTCTCAAGGTAGATATTCACTATAATTATAATTGTAAATCATATTAGAGATTTTATGAACTTTTATTAATTAATATGTATTTTTTTAGTTGATGCAACTACACTTTCTTCTTTATTAATTAATCATATTATAGATTTTAATTGTATTAGAGATTGTATTAGTATTATTAATCGGCATGTTTTCCGTGTGTCAAAGTTTTTTGGCACTCTGACTTATAACACATTTGTAAGTTTTTTTTTTACTAAATTGCTGGCCAGTTGCTTTAGTAATTCAAATTGGATGTGCTCATAAATTTTTAAATAAAAAAATATCTAAAAGCATTTTAATGAGTGCCTTAAGTGGAATAGGAAAATAAGACTCGAAATCTAAGTAAATAAATTAATTATATATAAATGAGGTGGCCTTAAGTGGAATAGGAAAATAAGGACTCTGAAAATCTAAGTAAAATAAATTAATTATATATATATATATATATATATATATATTATATATATATAATTATATATATATATCTAACAAACCATTTATTTTTAATAATATAGATATAAAGATAAATTATTAAGTTATTACTTTTCAATTTTTTCTCCTTATACTATATTTATACATTTTTTTATTTTTTAATATTATATTTAGTTTGCACGAATCCGTGTTAATAGTTTTCTAGATATAGTGTATATAACGCTAAATGAAGAATCAATATTTTAAGTCTTAAAACCAAGCTAATATGTGATGCCAATCTATTCCAAATATATCTACAAACCCATTTATTTTTAATATATAGATATAAAGATAATTATTAGTTATTACTTTTCAATTTTTTCTCTTATCTATATTTATACATTTTTTTATTTTTTAATATATATTTAGTTTGCACGAATCGTGTAATAGTTTTCTAGATATATGTATATACGCTAATGAAGACAATATTTTAAGTCTTAAACCAACTATATGTGATGCCAATCTATCCAAAAATTTGTATTTTATTATTTAATTTATTTTTGCAAGCCATTATTCTTTTACTTTAATTAGGAAAGCTTATGGAAAAAAATATATAATATATTTTTTAAAGGGATTATTATATTATTGGAATACAAAAATTAAGCTACACTTATAAACTTAAAAGGCTTGAAAATTTAAACAGGTTTAACTCAAATCATTTTTATCTAGAATACTTTCGTTATTTTTAATATAGTAAAAAGAAAAGTTATCAATGAAAATTTTTAGAAAAGTATAATATACAACAAATAGAATAACTTGCACAATGCGCAAGCCTTCATCGAGTTAAAATTAAATTTAAACATATGCTTCTTTTAGTCTAATGCAAACATATTCTTTTTTTTGTGGATAATTACTAATTAAATGTCAAAGATTGGTAATAAATTAATCTAATGTAAACATGTGCTTCTTTTGATTTAGTGTAAAAAATTGCACACTTCTTTTGATCTTATATAAACACATGCTTCTTTTGGACATAATTAATAATTAAATGCCAAAGATTAATAAAAATGTTAAAGGTTGGTAAAAAAAAAAAATATATACAGAACGATAATATTACAAAAATTAATAGTGATAACATTATTATTATTTTTTGGATTCTTAAAATCCATTTCAAGCCTTTGATTCATTAGAGGTCGTTTTTATTTAATTAACAGTCGTTGCTTTTCCTTTCAAGATGAACGATCTAACTTGCATGACAATTGCTAACGCCGAGAACTTGACCAAGAAAAACTGGCATGTACATCTATTTCTTTGCAGACTAATGTTGAACAACTGAAATTCTATCAACCTTATCCAAGTCATCATCAGTAGATCAATTATTATCTTCTTATGATGCAGGAATTGACATTGTTTTTCCAAGGAACATCCAAAGAATATTGGCACAATTGTTAAACTATTGGTTGGCAAAATATGTTGGTCTATCATAACTGAAAATGATATTAATCATAGTGTGGTGACCCTTTCAACTAGAATGGGTAAAGTATGAACATATCAAAGTGAGAAAGGACTTGTGAGTTTTCATCGAGTTTTTTTGCCCTAACAACTTGAAAACTGTTGTCTATGATAAAAATGTCAATTATGTCAAAGAGCCACCAGTCCTAGATAACAAATGCTCTGCCACCGTGAATTTGGTCATATTATTTCATTTGTAAAGAAGAAAAGCCCTTTAACTCTTAGGTCAGTTGTATTTGAAAGCTCATAGTCTCATTTCCATCATCGTAGCCTTTCATTCAATTTGTTTTATGTATTGTTGCATAACTTGAAATATATGTTTGTTTGTGATTTGTGTCTGACTCAAGAATGTCATCGTAGCCTCATTGACACCCTATCCTCAATTGGTCCTTAAGGTTAACAAAAAAATAAAGCAAACTCCAATTTTATAATGCACATATGAGGAAATGGAGTGGTCCAGTCAAATTGCTTTGCCTTGGTTCCCTCTCCCCTGTGAAGTGATGTTTTACCTTGTTGCATAATAGAGTTTCATGATCTCGTGAATGAAGCAACTATCGAGCCTAGGGATGTCCTCAAACACTTATTGTCAATAACGAAGACATTTTCATATTTAATTTTATTCACTTCTATTAGAAAATGTTCCAAGCTATTGACTAACAGTTTTTTGAGTTAAAATCAGACCGAATGATTTTTTAGTGTAACCGATCATTATATAAGGAAATTTTAATACACTCCCAAAGAAGACGAGGACATACCAGTAAATAGTGAAAATTATGTAAAAATGTAAAAGCAATATTCTTTTAAATTTAAAATCAATCATAAATCAAACCAATGTTCTATATTTTGTATTTTCAAATTCATAATCTTTAGATAGGTTTGGGGCACTTGAACACCCCCTGCCCCCTGCATATTTGAATGGTTAAGCGTCTTGCAGAAGGAATTGAGTTGCGTCTTGCAGAAGGAATTGAGTTTCTCGAACTTTTATTGAAATTGAACTGTTCAAGGGGGGAAAAAAGGCAAAACCCTTCCTAAACCCTAATAAACAGAATAGTCCTACTTCATCACTTGGAGAGAAAACCTTCTCCTTCTTCTTCCAGAGATGGCCGAAGCTTTACACGAGCGACAACACGAGACCTTACGCGGTTATGAGCTCCGTCTTCTGCGCTGCACCCTCGGGGCTCCATCGTCCCAACCACCGTCTTTGTCCGATGCTTGTTGTCTTAATGATGATAACAATATTAAAAATCTCTACTTACTTATCAATAGGTTGCTCAATTTAATCGAGACTGGGAACTATCTAGAAGCTCTCTCCTCTGATGCAGCCAAGCTCGTCATTCATTTGCCGGAGCTTCCGGAGTCTTCTTCTGCCGACCAAGTTTACTCCAAGTTGGTCGAGGGCGTGCAGTGGTTTATAATGAGCGGTGGCGTTGAAGTTGATGATGGGGAAAGGGCTTGCAGAATGATTCTAGTCTTGTGTGTTGCCGTTGCTGCGTTTTTCTTTTTTACTCAGTGTAACATCACCGGGTCTGTATCTTTTATTCTTCATTTCTTAATTATATTGGGTTGTAATGGCTCTAATTAATTATGTTTATCTTTTTCTTTATGTTTATTGTTTGAATATGAATATTTAGACCAATTGATGAATTTCCTCGATGTCCTCTGCGGATTAAAGTACCTGAAGGTGGAAAATTTGTGGAATGGGAAAATTGGGCGCGTGATCAGCTTATGTCAAGTGGTTGTCACTTGCTTGGAAAGTTCTACAATCTTCAGGTACTGCTTTCAATTTAATATACCTATTTGCCTTCTCTTAGTGGTCTCATTGATTCCTATGGCTCTCATGCTTGATGGGTTTTGTTTATGGTCTTAATTGGATTTTTTTTTTTTATTTTTTTTTTATTTGTAGTTTTTAGCTTTTGCTAAAATGTTGGTCATGAAGACAAAAGACTTGCTATTTGAAGGAAGCATGTCTTCTATATATGGCATTCGAAGCATTTCATGGTGGCTTGCCAGGGTCTTACTTGTTCAACAGAGAACTTTGGATGAGTTATCTTCATCTTTGTTTGATCTATTGCAAGTAAATATGGGCGAAACTCTAAATCATTTTGGTGCTTTGGAGCAAATAGCAAGTTACTGGGGTGTGAAGTTGCATGACGAAGAAGCTTCTAGAATAGTCTCAATGCTACATTTGGAAGCAGGAATAATAGAATATACCTATGGGCGAACCGACTCATGCAGGTACTCATTAAGTGTTGAAAAGAGTTGTCTAGTAGTTATGCCTATGCTATTTGCATTATAACTAGATGTTTAGATACGAGTTTTTGCCTCATTTTTACTGCTATGTGATTGTTTTAGTTTTATTCATTGCTTGACTATGTGCTTCAATATACATTCATGCTATTGTGATGCTTACACGTTGGTGTTAGCAGATAGCATATGATGTCATAGAAATTTTGAAACTTATCATTGATGCAGCTGTTTAGTTTTATAAATTTTATTAAGTAGACATACATATTTTAAGCAGTGTATCATGCCTTGTAAAGAACATGTATTTTTTTTTCCTTCTGTTTTGGTTGAGAAACTAAGTTGCTTTCTCAAAGAGCTACAAGTGATGCACCTTCATTTCCCGAAGTCAGAAAGTGCCTCTCGATGAAGATACTAGACCCTAACAGGGCTAGATCAAATTGCTGACTTGAAATAACAGATAATATTGGAAATTGGCAAATAGAATTAGCGTTTGAGATAATTGGCATGTTGTAGTCGCTTCATTTTCCTTCATTGTATTAAACCATTATGATTTTAGAATGCTTTAATTCTCTTTCTTATATAGTGGATTCTAATTATTTTCCACTTAACATAGGAGGTTGTCGACGGAGAGAGTTATCATTTGCAAGATTGAATTATTTATTTTGAATACATTGCAGTTATTTCAATTATCAGGATGCCATTTCAATTAATGTGCATGAGCAATAGCCTGAATATTTTGTTTGGCTGGCATTATTACCTTCTGGTCTGCGAGCCTTTTATTAGTTGTCAAGGTAGTCAGCTCTTTTGGTTTCAATTTTTTGTCTGAAGCATTTCTGTTTTGTCAGATTACATTTTGGATCAGCTGAAGCATCAGTTGGGCTTCAGCTTTCTGTTACTGGGGTTCTTGGCTATCATACAATGCATCAGGTTAATATTTTAAGCCTGTTACTTGTAAATCTTTATGAAAATTTTAACTTTACCTCACAGATAACTGCTGGATGCAGGCAGAGCCAAAGTTACAGAGGGTACTTCTTGTCAACAAAAAAGAAAGCTTATCCGATAGTGATGATGCTGTTACCTGCCCCCCAATAAGTGCTGGCGCCCAGACATATGACTCTATTAATGAAGACACTTTGCAGCTGAACCACCATGGAACTTCTGACATTCTTATGATTCCAAAATTGCTAGAGAATGGTGAAGAATCAGAAATGAGTACCAAAAGTAATCAAAATAGCAGTCCAGGTGGTGCTGCCCCTTTAACAGCCATCCAGCAGGCAGTGATCTTGGCGCAGTGCCTTTTGATTGAAAAGAGCAGTCGACATGATGAGTTGCAAAGTAAGTTGCTTGGATATGCCTGATTGCTAAACTGAACCGTCTGATATTATGAGTCGGGCTTTTCCCATGTTGGTTGCTGCTAAAAAAATGAGGGAATCTTTACTTGGTTTCGATAATGCATAATCAAGGTCTTTAAAAAAATGAGAAAAGACAAAAAAATTCTCCCTAATTGGAGTTGCTGCTATGTGTTACATTTGAAATAGCTGGACTACAATTGCTTTCTGGCTGTATATATTCTTAATCTTAACCCTAAAACCCAATTGTGAACCTGCCTCTCTGCTTGAGATCTCTCTTCTGCTCTTATTTTTATTTCTTTTTTCTCCTTGACTGCTTAATTATACTGATTTCTGTGGTTGAGGTAACACAACACTTTCACCAACAAAATGATCTCTTAACTCTACGTTTTTAGTCTTGTAAATTATTTTTCAACTTATTCTAAGAAAGATGTTTGTAATATTTTTCAATATGCTAATTTTCCAAGATATATTTATGTTGATTCATTATTTTTATTGTTTTGATTGAATTTGGTTTCATCTTTTAACATTACTTGTCAGAAACATTTTGCGCCTGTTTGTGATGTGTCAAAGTGCTGTCTTTCTATAACCGATATTTGTGTTTGCTAATGTTGAGGAAATCTGAACTCCATTTCCACCCGAAATCTTTATTTTGGCTTATGGATAAATAAATATAGCATAATGTGAGCACAAAAGGTGTTGGATTCTTTAACACATCTTCTCATGTCAATGTCCAATAGGTCAAATTAAACCTCAAGATGTGTGAAAAAAACCAAAGATTCTTATCAAAAGGGTAAAAATAAGTTGGTAAAAAAATAATCTAGAAATCCTAATTGCAAAGAAAGGGCTTGACTTTATTAAGAATACATTATACCTGTGACAAAAAAACGTCGAAGTTACATATTGTGTTAAGAGAATGAAATCCAAAAGCTTAATACTGGGTGGGGAGGCCTTTACACCCATGTAAAAGTATAGTAAATTCATAGGTTTTGTTGGATGCAATAGCATAGCTAAACCAGAATTAGTTGTCATAGGATTCAATTAGATTTGTTGTGTTGCTCTATAAATGCATATGATGATGTGGCCTTTGAAGACATTTTAATCCATATTCTTTGTTAATTTACGTCTTTTTCTTTTCCAGGATGGGATATGGCTCCATACATAGAGGCAATTGATTCTCAATCATCGTCATTATTTATTGTAAGTGGAATATTGCTATGCGTCTTTCCTGCATAAATGTTGCAGATATTCTAGTTACCGACACATAACTATTAAAATAACATTGCACTTTAACAAATATCATACTCATAAACATTGCACTTTAAGTGGGAGGTTTTCTTTTTACTAAGGATATGAAGATGTTATTACCATTTAGATTAGTAAATAAGCAATTTCTATCAAATTTCTAATAGAACAACCAGGTTCGTCTTTTTATCTTGTTTTTCCAATTATATAAAAAGGTGGCTTATATACCTTGTATACCTTCACTACTTTGTTACTCTTGTATCCCATATTAATGTTCTGATTAAAAGAAACAAACCAGAAAGCTGTTTCCTTTTGCTGTTATTTAGAAAATATATATAATATAATCCAGAAAATTTGTGTTCTAACACATTAATTTTGCTTGTGTTTTATGTTTCTCGTTGTTAGGAGGACTTTCTTGTCCTTCATAGTTGACTCTCACTTCATTCTTTCTCAATAGTAATCATCTAACAAGTGAAGTAAATATGATTTATTATCACCTTCTGACCAATTTGAGGTCACCTGCATAAAACTAGAGAAGTCAGTCAATAACTTGCAGCATTAAAAATTTTTGCACTGTGATCAGTCGTGTTCCATTTGAATATATTATACCTATGGATTGTTCTTGTTGAATTTGATTGTTGCTTTTCCAGCATTGTTAATTTGATGATTTCCCTAGTTTGCAGTCCTTTTAGGCTAAATCATTAAAAAAACCTCGAATTTTGCCGGTAGTTTTAATTGTACTTTTTTCACCTAGTACCCTGCACTTCAATTTTAGTTACAATAGCACCCTAATTTCAAATTGTACCCAATTCAATGAATGAAATATTATTTTCATTGTACCTACATGGTCAGGTTAACCAAAAACTTTAATAACACCCTCACTAATATTGGTTGGAAATTTTCTTTTTAAAATTCATAAAAAGCCAAGTAAAATAATAAATTTTAGTTAGTTATAAGCATAAAATATTAGTTTAGATTTTTATTTTGCCATTTTTTAAGCATGGAACTGCACTTCAAATTTTAGTTAACAATAGCAACCCTAATTTCAAAATTGTACCCAAATTCATGAATGAAAATATTATTTTTCATTGTCAGCCTACATGGTCAGGTTAACCAAAAACTTATAACACCCTCACTAATATTGGTTTGGAAATTTTCTTTTTAAAAATTCATAAAAAGCCAGTAAAATAAATAAAATTTTAGTTAGTTAATAAAGCATAAATATTAGTTTAGAATTTTTATTTTTCCATTTTTTAAGGCAATGGAAATTTTAAGTTAGAGTTTATTGAAATATATGCTTAAGTTAGATCTCTCGTAAAATAGATATTTTATTCATTTATGGTATATTTTTAATTTTTTAGAGGAGTTAGTTATAAGCATAAAATATTAGTTTAGATTTTTATTTTGCCATTTTTTAAGCATGGAATTTTAGTTAGAGTTTATTGAAATTATGCTTAAGTTAGATCTCTCGTAAAAATATATTTTATTCATTATGGTATAATTTTATTTTTAGAGAATCATTACTTATTATCATTATTATATAAATAAATAAATAATATTTTGTTTTTGAGATGAATATATTTATTTTTTATTTTAATATTGGATACAATTTGAAAATAATATTTTATTCATTAAATTGTAATATTATTTTTTATTTTGAAAGTGGGTGCAATTTGAAATTAGAGTGCTATTGTAACTAAAGCTGAAGTTCAGGATACTAGGAGAAGAAAGTTGGATTTAAGGTATAATTAAAACTACCCGCAAAGTTTAGGGTTTTTTTAATGATTTAGCCCTCCTTCTAATATAGAAGTTTATGTGATTCACATTATACAACAACAACTAAGCTTTAGTCCCAAACTAGTTGGGTTTGTCTACATATATCTATTTCTTCCATTCTACTTGTTTTGTATTAATCCTTCGAAACACCTAGCATATCTAGATTTTTCTTAATCATCTACATGGATTCATCTTATATTTTTATTAGTTTTAACTTTTACGTGATTTTTTGTTCTTTTAGATTCAATGTTTTTGCAACTTCTTACGTATCCGTTGGGAGTCAACTCGTAGCCGAACAAAGCAACGTGCATTAACAATGATGCAAAAATTGGTACTTGAGTGTTTCTCTTTATTCAATTCACAATTGGCGTATTAAATTCATAATTGCATAATTGGTTTGCTAATTTAAAATGCTTACTTGTTGGGGTTACTATATTTAAATGCTTGTCCTTTGGGGTTCCTGTCTTTTTTCTGTCATTGGTTTTTTATGAATGGATTTTGGGAGAAATACATTCAAAAGCTAACTCTTGAGGTTGGAGAGCCTATAGTCCATGTAAACCCCACATTTAAATCCTTATACCTTAAATATAGGATTCAAATCCCATACCTTGCAAATATGATCAGAACAACCACTGGACAAGCTTCATGTTTTTGTTTAAGGTAATAATTGATGGTTAAGGAAATACTCTTTAAGTATGAATAATAGCATACTGGCGTTGTTGACTACATCTTAGGCCATTCACAGTATGCTTTTTAAGATAAGTGGCAACATAGTGATTGTTTTAGTTTGATTTACATGATTAAGTGCTCGTTTGGTGTAGCTGATGGTTGCTAGCGGTTAGCTGATAAATATTGGTATTTGGTAAAATTTTGGTAACGAGTTGTTGTTAAAATGTAAAATGACCATTAACGATGTAATTGTTTTTATATATTATGATGTATAATCTATGTACATTTGTTTAATAAGGTAAATATATTATTTTTTTTATTTTGATATATTAAATAGAACTGTGTGGTAAATCCCACAAGGGAAAAATATAAGAAGAGTAAATAGCAAATAATGAGGAAGGTGTACCAACTAAAATAGCTCTGGCCATTTTGTATTTAAGGTACGCCAATTCAATATAAGTCCAAATTATAAAACGAATTGTTAATTGAATTGATTAATTGCTTTTTGGGCCTAGATTTAACATGGAGAGTATATTGCATGAGGGAAGTTTCTGAGTGGGTCGTACCCTGATGGATCTTTGCTGGGCCATTGTATGCTTATCAAGTGGCCACTTGACCTAATTACCATTTGAAGGGGAGAGTGTAGAAATGTGTGTGTAAATCCTACAATGGAAAAATATAAGAAGAATAAATAGCATATAATGAGGAATGTGAACCAACCAAAAATGACTTAGGTAATTTTGTACTAAAAGTAAGTTCAACTCAATATGAGCCAAAATTATTAAATGAATTGTGAATTGAATTTGATTAATTGCTCATATGGTTCACATTTCACATATTATATAAATAAAAAATATTAACTAAATTTTTTTCAATAATATTGAATAGAAATTATATTTTTATAACTATAAATTAAAATGATAAAAAAATATTAATTTTTTTTAAAAAAATTGCTAGTAATTACTTTTATGATGTTAATGAAGTCAAAATATAATATAAATACGTATTAGTTGTTACCAGCTGATAAAACATAGTTGATGGAATCAACAACCAATCGGGACTTCTAACAACCATTAGTTGTTGATTAAAAGGTTTACCAAACATCTACAATCTAACTGTTAGGTACGAATCAACTATCAGTTGCATGAATTAGCTGAACCAAACACCTTCTAAGCCAAGTTAAATTCAGGTCATTTTTTGAATTTTTCTTGATAGTTTTTCTAATCTCTCTCTCTCTTTTAACGTTTTGTGGTCATAAGCCTCATATAAACATGCACCAATTGTCACAAGCCTTGCTAAAACATGCTAAAACATGTTACTTCGCTGTTGTAGTTTGCATTTTAAACTAAAGATGGTGAATTGTTTGTAAAGGACATAGATGTGGTACATGATGGACATAGTAAATATTTAATATGGCATATTACAAAAGATTATTATCCACTACTAGGGTAAACAAAATAGCTTTTGGATAATTCTTTTTTATGTATTTATATCTTAATTAGCATGAAAAATATCAGAAAACTCAGAGCTAATCTCTCAGAGTTTAAGACATTGATGGCAAGAGAATTCCTAATAGTACATCTGATATCTTGCCAAAATGACTAATTTAGGGCATGGATTGCAACAAGAAATTCCCAGGAAAGCAGTCCTGCCCTCAGGAGTTTTGCATATGATGTACCAATTAAATTTGACCAATTGAACTCAGTACTCGAATTCCCAATAGCTGGAGTGGATTTTTACTGTATTGTCACTATTGTTATTGATTTATTATTAGTGTCATTATTGTTATATGTATTACTGTTAATATTGTTACGTGAAAAATTAGTCATTGAACTCCTTTTTGTCCTCAAGCATTGGCTTGATAGTTTTTTTTTGGTTTTCTCTGTACCATAAGTTTGCTTGCTCTTCAACTACCACAACTGTGAAGAAAACCCAAGGAATGTAAATAGCTTGCAAAGGACTCACAAGCGTCATACAAATTTACTTATAAGATGTTGTTATTAGATATCAAGAACTCCATTGTGAAGTAAGCTCTTCCATTTGTCATGCATCTCTAGGATGTTATGATGTTTTGGATCAATGAAGTTGTTTTCTGAGTGCTAGTGCCCTTTTTCTATGTTTCTTTTTCGTGTTGTTCCTCCTCGCTAATCAAGAGAATCTTCTCTTATTTTTTGTTGAAAGCCTCAACATTTCCTGCTTAGTGACCTAATTTGAGATTTAAAGAAAATCGGAGCGCTTGCCTTTAACTTAGCCTGCAAAACTGAAGTTTAATTGGTTGTTTCAGATGACCCTCTTAATGATAGAATTAGCTGGGATATCTGCTTAAGGTCTCATCATATTTCTTAATATTGGTTTTTGATTCCTTATTAATCAAGAAGTAGGTTTATCTAAAAGGGGCTTTTCAGTAATTTTCAGACCTTTTTTACAATTAATTGTGTAGGAGAAAATGAATTAACTAGATCTCTTCTAGATATTAGTTTAGGTTTCTCACACATTTGATGTGCCTTTTTAATTGGGATGTGTGTAAATGTATCTTACTCTGTTGATTGTCAATGATGCCTTTTTTTTTCACTTGATGAGAAATCTGGGACATGGAACTTGATTGGACTTTTCTTGTGCATATTTTCATGATGAAATATTGCTCCACTTATATCTGAGTTGTACGACACTGAAGCTAAATATTTGCACAAGTTGAGGGAGGGAACCAAACAGCGATTAAAATGCATTACTAAGTTAAATTTCAGTCTCATTTTGTTCACGAGTTCATGCCTTTTTTAAAGGTTCTATGTATCTTTGTGCTCTTGTATCCTTGTATTTTCTTTTCCAGTCTGAAGCTTTGTTTAGATTTGGACTTCAATTTCTAAAATGATTTTTACAAGATAAATGATCTCATATAGTTTATCAACTGGTTAAGGAATTTAACACTAGTTAGATCTCCACATTTTCCCCTCACAAATGGACATATTTTAGAGTTTAATCAATGTGCTTTCTCTAAGTTGCTGATGTATTTGAGATTTCTCTCTTCACTTCATCCCTTCCTCTCTCATCACCCTTCCTCCTTCCTCCTTCCTTGGTTTATTTTTTTTTTTTGGGGGGGGGGGGGGGATTTTCCCCCTCACAAAAATGGAACATATTTTTAGAGTTTAAAAATCAATGGCTTTCCTCTAAAGTTGTGGATGTATTTTGAGATTTCTCTCTTCAAACTTTCATCCTTCCTCTCTCATCACCCTTCCCCTCCCTTCCTACTTCCTTGGTTTAATTTTTTTTTTTTTTGGGGGGGGGGGGGGGGGGGGGGGGGGGGGGGGGGGGGGGGGGGGGGGGGGGGGTGGGGGGGGGGGGGGGGGGGGGGGGGGGGGGGGGGGGGGGGGGGGGGGGGGGTATTCATTTACTACTGACAGTGTTCTTCATGGATGTTGTGGGGGGGGGGTATTCATTTACTGACAGTGTTCTTCATGGATGTTGTTACATTATTTCAGGTTGAGCGCATTCATAATCCTTTTCCTCGAGTGGAGAAAAGGATTCCCTTTTCATTTGTAGCTTATGTTCCTGCTATTCCAACCCTACGGAAGTAAACTCTTCTTTCAAATGACTTTACTTTTGCCTTCCGCAACATTCTTAATATATTTTATTATGTGCTAGTTGAACATGTAACCAATTAAAATTGGTCTGTTTCCTCTTTTTCCATTTTTATGATCTAGGGAATATGGTGAACTTTTAGTCAGCTGTGGTTTGATGGGGGAGGCAATTAAAATCTTTGAGGATTTAGAGTTGTGGGACAATGTAATATATTGCAACCGGTAAGATGGCTCTTGATAGCCAAGTCTACATCAACTTGTTCATTTCTATCTTCTTCTTTTATTTATTTATTTATTTTTCAGAAATATATAGTTCTTTGTTTCTTTGTCATGTGGGTCTTATTTAAGAATTTGTATTAAAAAAAAAAAACAGCATATTGGGTAAAAAAGCAGCAGCTGTTGAACTCATCAAGAAACGACTGTCTGAAATGCCCAATGACCCAAGGCTTTGGTATGATGGCCTTCTCTTCTTTTCCTTCTTAACCTTTTAAAGTTTTTCTTTTTTTTTTTTTTTTTTTTTTTTTTTTTTTTTTTTTTTTTTTTGGTCCTGGCTTTGTTGAAATCTTTTGTGAATTAAAGTAATATTGATGTTTCTTAATTTAGGTTTATTCCTAATTAGTGTATAAGATTTGTGGTTGTCCTTAGTTGTAGGGTTGTGGGGAATTCCTTCCTTATTTTTAGATGGGTATTACTTCCTGCCCCCCATATTGGAACAATTTTTTTCTCCGTATATATATAAGTGAATAGAGGTTGAAAAAAATATTACCCTCTCGAAGAAATAAAACATATTCTTTCACCTATATTGGAACAATTTTTTGTATATATATAGTGAAATAGAGGTTGAAAAATATAACACAATTGAAAGAAATAAAACATATTCTTTCCTTTAATTTCTACAGGCTTCTTCCTTTTTGTTCTGTGAACTACAGCAACAGTAGCATAAACATTTCAATAAAATTATTGTTGTGGACAGCTATCAAACTCTCTAATAATCTTGTTGACCATTCAAATTGAGAATTTCATGGAATTCTTTTTTCTACTTTTAGTGTTTATGCCCTAGTTAGAATAGAAAAAATAAAACGGATAAATATGTGACATGCCATAAGGTTTGAAATGATGAATAAATAATTGATAACTTTGTCGCATTTAAAATTTCCCTTTCCTTTTTGGATTTGGATAGGGGTTCAAGTTCATGAGATATTAATAATTATCAGTATGTTTTGGAGTTCTTTATGGGTGATGTTACTTACCCTGATGGGGCAAAGAAAAAAGAAATTTGATGGTTACTAGTTTAAGGCAAACATGATAAATGAGAAAAAAATGAGCAACTTAGATTAAAAACTGCCGAGTAGTTTGTTCAGGTAGAGTATGCAAGATTGTAAGTGATGTTTTCTATTTAGAAAACTTAGCTGTACAACCATGACCGCTCCATTTATTGGATGTTGCCTTTCAATTCAAGAATGCCATTTAGGTTTGTACAGCTAAAGCTTTCTAATAGTTTCAATTTCATCTAATGTTATTTGTTCATTCTATAACTATTTTAAACAAAGTTGATTATATTGCAATTTATTCATATATTTCCTCTCTGCATGTAGCTGCTACATTTTAGTGGTGGGACCTAGATTACTTCAATTTTAATGAAGTAAAGCAACCTTTTCAAACATCAACCTTGATGAATTGTGAATATCCCCACCATATAAGCAAGAGTGGGAAAGTAAAAGAAAAAACAAAAGCAAAGTTACCATCAAAGCATCTCCGTCTAGCAACCTTTTCTATTTGTAGTCACCAGCCAAAGGAATATTTCCTAGGATCATATGTGTTCCACTTCTACGAACAAATTCCACGCTATCTCCCTACCCCCACCGCCATAAAATAAAGGGACAACATAAGAAAGGAAAGGGAAGAATGTATATATTGTTTATGCATGTGGAAGGAGTTTGTTTATTTCTTTTGTATCGCGAACTTGATTACTTTAATTTTTTCATAGCTTAATATGTTGTCTCCTGCAGCACAAATGCATGTTAGTGACAATTGCTTCAATATTTCTGTAAAATTTTATTCATGTGAAGAACAATATGATAAGAAGAGTTCAGTAGGATTAGCATACTCTCTCTGTACATATGTAAATATCAGTTTATTGGCTTAATACTCTTTTTGACACATTGGAGATCTTATGTTTTAGGTGTTCATTGGGTGATGTCACAAATAACGATAGTTGCTATGAAAAAGCACTTGAAATTTCGAATAACAAATCTGCACGAGCAAAGGTACTTTTAATGGAACTGAAATTTGTATGCTTTTAGGTTAATTTTCTTGAACTAGCTTTTTTTGTGTAACAGAGATCTCTTGCTCGTAGTGCATATAACAGAGGTGATTATGAGACATCTAAAATCCTTTGGTATGTCTACTACCTCTCTATTTCTATTTTTGTGTTGAAGTGCATCAATTATCTTTTGTAGTTGGTATTGATTATGGTAACAAAGAATAACTTGTGGTTGCTCCACAGGGAGTCTGCAATGGCCTTGAATTCTTTATATCCAGACGGTTGGTTTGCTCTTGGTGCTGCTGCCTTGAAAGTAAGCTATGCTGCCTCTTGATTCAGTCATCTGGTCTTTTGTACCATTACTTGTGTACTTCAGAGTTCCAAATGCTATTAGGAGATCTTTTTGGTTATATTCCTAAAGGTTTTGGATGAACATAATTGTATAGTCTAGGGATATTGACAAGGCTTTGGATGGATTTACTCGAGCTGTTCAACTTGATCCTGATAATGGCGAGGCTTGGAATAATATCGCTTGCTTGTAAGTTGTCTTTTTCTCTCTTTTCATTTTCCCTGTCCTTCCTTTTCTTTTTCCCCATGCTATTAGACCAACTTGTTAGGTATAAAGGAAGCTCAATAATTAAAAAGAGAACGATGGATCCTCATAGTGAAACCTTAGATGAAGGCGGAAGAATGATTAGTAAAATGATGGTGATGTGGAAAAAGTCACACTACACATTAACTGCAAATTATCAGTGTTGTTAAAGGCCCAATGCACGCTAAAATACAAAGGGTGATGGATTCCGAGGTACAAGGTGCACAGCTAGGTGCCTGGTGGATACAAGGCACATGTTGACTTAAAAAGAAAAGGGAAATATACTCCCTAGTTGAATAATAAGTACAAGATAGATTCTACAATTGTATAAAGAATATAAAATTCAACATTTGCTAACTAAGTTAGTATCAAATCATTCATATACCTGTAAATTTCAGCAACATACCATCATATTTTAGCAATCACTGTTTATGTATCACAAAAAAATTCAAACTTTGTTAGAAATTCTAAAAATAAGAACGTTTGACATCTATATAATGGAAAGATCAATAAAATGCTACTAAATGTCATCAAACCCCACCCCACCACCACCGAGCGAGGAGAGAGGCAGCTCATTTTGAACTACCTATATTTGGATAATATCGGTGAAAAAGAATGATCAAGTATAAATGCTAACTAAAACGTTCAGTTCCTCACACAGTTCACCCATTAGAGAACCAGTAACCATACAACCGGGCCCCGCCGGCCACAAGAAAAAAAAAACAATAAGAAATAAAAAAAAGGAAATCCGAAAAAAAAAAGAATAGAATATGCAAATTTATTGCAAGTGTTTATGATTAGCAAAATATGAATTCACAAGTACCTAAATTTATTCGAGGAGTTCAAAGACACCAAGTGATAATTCCTTAGATGAGAGCAGAAGATAATCTAGAGATCGAAGAGAATTTCTTGATATGAATTTATATTCTAGTATAATAATAAGATGATCTATGATACTAATTATTTCATATTATAATAATACGGGATCCGGGAAGTAAGAGGAGTACCAAATAAAGGCTACAGATCTTCAGGTACTTTCTTTGAGAATTAGGGAAGTTTTTGTTATTCAGTTAGGTTGAGATTTTTCTGATAAATGTATATACACTTCCTGACACAATTGAAGAAGAGTTCTAAGGCGAATTATGATTTTCGTGGTTCTTCATCGAATCTCTGGAACTGATAACATAAATTTAGTTATGAATTCAATAATGAGGAAAACAAGTTAGACACAACTGTCAAGGTAAAGAGTACGTCCAGAGGCAATATATATAGAGTCAGAATAGGCTAGTTCAAGGTCCCTTTTGAAGAATAGGTTTTAATAAGGTAGTTCGAAGGTTCCCTTCTAACATTAGGACTCTCAGGAGAATATTTGGTTTTAAATGATCTGGACTGTTGACCCACAAATTAGTTGAAACAATAAGGAAAACAATTGACAAATGAAGGAAACGAGTAGGTCCAGGGATCTCATTTCTCTCCACCTCAAAATCTGTCCACTGTACCACTTCCTTCTCAAAAGGTACCTGAACTTCCTTTTGAAAAGAAGACAGAAATCCATCTATAAGAGTGCAGGTCCAAGTCCTCAAAGAAGCTAGTTTGCCTGAAATTATGAAGGGAAGATTTTCCTGTTTATGAAACTCCTTTGGTGGGATCATGACTGGATAATGTGCTGCTCCCCTTACCTTTTGCATTGCCATTTGAAATTGGAAGTAGGAAAGAGAGAAGGAAACCATTATGTTCATCTCTTTCAGCATGGCAATGTAGGATTGCAATACATTGTGTGCTTGATGAGAAGCAATATTCATCCTAGTTTGGTATTTCACTTTTACATGATAATTATTATTGAGGTGATAAAATTCTAATTTACATTCTCTATTTCCGTCTGTGGGAATCAATTACATTACACTTTGTAAAAAATGCAGGCATATGATAAAGAAGAGAAGCAATGAGGCTTTCATTTCATTTAAGGAAGCCCTCAAGTTCAAGTATGATTTTAACTTGATACTTGCATTTTACATTTTCTAATATAAAATATGTTCTGCACATGCACAAACGCACACAAATAGTTCTCTTCTATTGTTAAAAGTTAGGTGACTTCATTCAGACCAGATAGCTGGCAGTTGTGGGAAAACTACAGTCATGTTGCAATGGATGTAGGCAATGTTCGTCAGGTATTATTTTATGTGCACCTTTGTCCGTCTTCAAAGATTGTCAAAAGTTTTAAGCTATTTATGACAGTTATGAGTGATTGGGCATTCACATGAATGAAACATAGTCCTGGGCACTTTCTGTTTATCTAGATTAACTTACATCTTTTTTCAAATGGTATATTGTAAGGGTATACAGTCTGGCAGTTAAATTCTTTTAATTGAGGCAGTTTGAGTTGACTTGTCTTCTATAGACATCATGTTTAATTAATTATTGAGTGCATTTTGCTATATGTCTTCATTGCTCCTCCACTGCAGATACTCTGAAGCTTGCTGTTGGTGGATGCATTCAATTAATTTATGAAGTCCTTAATAGAGTTATCAGGAATAAACAATTTTGCTTTATTAGTAAATTATTCTGTTATTTACAATATGCATCTGGGAGTATCTGTGCTCCGTACAAATAGAACGCGGAACCATTGGAACATTAGTGTGATACGTGTTTTGTAACATACTTTTTATGGTTGTTTTATGTTAGTGCATTTTGGACCTCAGTGCATTGAGATCTTATGGTAGCATTTAACAAAATGTATGTGATAAGCATATTAATTACAGCACTTTTGTTTCTGTGTATGTTAGGCTCTGGAAGCTATACAGAGAATTTTGCATCTAACCAGTTGTAGACAAGTTGATACTGTATTATTGGAAAGAATTATGCAAGAAATGGAAGGAAGAGCATCAAGTAGATCTTCTGTGTGCCTACCTGTGACTGATGATTATAGCTCCACCAATCAAACTTGTTTTGGTGCTTCCCATAATGCTGTACATGATTCAGAAATACAAGCTCAATGGTCAAGGGAAACTGAGCTGTTAGTGGAGTTGCTGGGTAAAATACTTCAGCAGGTTTGTGGATATTTTTATCTCAGAGGTTTGATTTTTGTTCCTTTATCCCATTGTATGCACGCACCTGTGACAATTATTACTCTGCTGGTCATTTCTGACAACGAATCTACAAAATGTTGCATCATAGGTATTGATCTGGGTATATTTATGCTTTGGTTATTATGTTCAGCATGCATATTTAGCTACTTGGAGAATTAGTGGTGGTTTTAATTGTGTGGTATTTATGCAATTATTCATACTTTGTGGTTTATGAAGTAGTGTTTTTGTTCGTTACTCAGATAATTAAAAGTGATACAAGAGCGGATATTTGGGGCTTATATGCAAGATGGCACAAGATCAAAGGAGATCTTACAATGTGCTCTGAAGCGCTCCTGAAGCAAGTCAGATCGTATCAGGTATAAATGATAACACCTGCAGTGTCCCTTGTTCTTTAAATTGTTGCACCATGTGATTGCATTCAGTTCCTTTCAGGGGCTTTTCCCATGGTATACTATTTTGATATTTAGCCGAGTATTTATGTGATGAAGATAATATATAATATTCAATCCTTGGAACTCTTATTTTTTTGTCAAGTGCTGGCATTAATGTCAGGAAGGTGGTCTATGAAGTTTTTGTGATGCATGTCTCTTTTGTCGAAACTGATCATGCAGTTCATATTTGTAAATATAGCAATTTATAAATATTGAATATCCCCATTGTACATTAATGATAATAATGTAAGTTAGGGTTCTATGGTGGGAGTTGGACGGATGAATTAGTCTCTTGGTCTTGCAAAATGGCAAAGTATACAGAGTGGATGCAGCTGTTGCTTCTTCTTTGATGCCTCTTTCCTTCTGGGTGGGTGGAGGTTTTCTTCAAATCATGTCATTTTTGCATGTACTGCCTTAACGCGTCGAACAATTGCAGTCATGCAGGATTCTTGCTTGCAAGCATTGCAATGGGATTTATGAAGAGATTACATATAAGCTATGACTTTGTTGTTATTACATTATTCTTTGTATGTTGGAGTTAGTCTTGCAGACCACAAAAGTAAAATTCATTACTCTCCACTCATAGAAATTGATAGACAGTAGGTATTGATGTGAGGTCAATCTCATCTGGCATATTGCTAAATGAAGTGTTTACTTGCTCAGACTGGTCATGATTGAGCCTGAAATTTTGTAGTGCAATATATATGGCATAGTTTACTAGGTTCACGGTGCAGCTAATCCTTTAATCGCTTGTGCTATTGTTAGTAAATTTTTTGTTGTTTCATTATTATGATGATATTAATAGCTGATGGTTAATTCATGTTCCGCTATTATTTGTTTGTTTCTGTGTTATCTTTAGCTGATTCTTTGATATTAACTTGTATGCATATACAAATCATGGTGCTGCCTTTCTGGAGCTAATTCTATCTTGGAAGGCTGTCACTAGAATTTATTAGTTTTTTTTTTTTTTTTTTTTTTTTTAGCTTCACTAGAATTTATTAGTTTTTTTTGTTTTTTTTTTTTTTTTTTTTTTTTTTTTTTTTTTTGCATGATTATGGTTACAAATATCTCTCTCTCAGGGATCTGATTTATGGAAAGATAGAGAACGATTTAAAAAGTTTGCACATGCCTCATTGGAACTATGTAGAGTGTACATGGAAATATCTTCTTCTACCGGCAGTCGTCGTGAACTCTTTACAGCTGAGATGCACCTGAAAAACACAGTGAAACAGGCAAGTTGAATATATTTTTTAATCTTTGATTTTTTTTATTTTTTATTTTTTTGGATGTCATTCAGTAGTAGTTGCAAACGTTTCATTCCATTCTTTCCTTACACATCATTTCTTGTATATACTAATTTAGTTCTTCACATTTATTTTTCACTACTTTTATAAAAGATGATGATACAAACTATCTTTTGAAGTCTCAGGCTGAGAGCTTTTCAAACACTGAAGAATTCAGGGATTTGCAAGCTTGTCTTGAAGAAGTGAAGATGAAGCTTCAATCATATTCTGTGACAACTTAAGAAACTTGCGAAACAAAATCTTCTTGGATGTGCCATCTATTTTTAGACAAAGGTTACATCCATTTGTAACATTGCAGGTATTACATCAACACAAATATGCATCCAATTTGTATATTCACAAGTATCTAATGCATTTCCTTATGCCTGATTTCCTTTCTTTCCCTTTTCACCCTGAGTCTCATTTTGGTGAATCCAATATAAACATCTGTTAGCATTCAAGTATTCCTTCTCCTTTTAAGGCGTATCACCTGGTCACTGAGTGTCTGAATGGCATAAACTGCCTTATGGGTGTCTTTGTTTCAGAAAAAAGAATTAGAATTAGATTTGTTATTTGAGCATACAGCGAAAACCACCATTTTATCCAACAAGCATTTTTTTTTATTTCCTAATAGATCTACATCTTTGAGTTTAATTTTAAAATTTTGGACCAGATGTTGCCTCTAGGTTTCCGCGTGTGTTCGTTCTACTACACATGTATCAAGTGTATCCTTATTTCTTGTTTGCGCACCTCAGAAATTTCTTAAAGGGGAGTTACCGTATTAAATTAGTTATGGATGTGAAGGGCTGTTAACAATCTCCTTATCTTGATAATAGAGTATTTTTTTTCTTTTTTAAATGAATGTTCCTGTTTACTTTATTTGCAGGGAAATGCTCAAATTTTGCCAGACCGAAAATCAGGTTGCAACCTCAGAGCTAGGTTAGCAAACCACACTTGTATATTTCTCTCCTCCTATGGGTTCGTACTGATATGAGATTAGGGTTTTCTCTTCCTTTTTGTCTGTAACATATGTACCCTAATGTTGTATTTATTTATCTGTTTATTAGTTAGATATTTATCATAAAATCAAGTTCCTTAATGTATTTTTCAAGTATTTGTTTAGCTTAGTCTCGTTGTAAAACAACTCTTCCTCTATTATAACGAACCAGAAGATAACACAATGAGAGAACGCAATCTTTGAGAGATAGGACACCAAGCTTTTCAAGTGATAAAGCCTCAAGGTCTGTTATTGTGATGGCAACAAAATCCTCTTTGGTAGTAGTTGTAATAGCAGAAGATCCAGTCTTCAAACACTTTGGATTTTGAAAACTCTTCATTTAATCGTGTAGGTCGAGTCGGACAATTTTCTCTTGCAAGAAGCAAAGGAATTGGAGGATGTAATCTCAAAGTTTCTTTAACAAACTAACTTTAGATACTTCAATTCATCAAATCTTGTTTCATCTATAATATTTTCTTTTTGATTATAAACCTGCCTTATCTCTTCCGGTGCTTTTCAAAAATGGATATATACTCACCACCATTATCCGTGCGCAAACACTTCAAGACCACTCCAGTCTCCCTTTCCACCATAGCATGGAATTGCTGAAAGAGCTTGAATACTTGGTCTTTTGTGCGCAACAAATATATCCATGTTTTCCGTGAGAAATCATCAATGAAGGTAAGAAAATACCTACTTCCTCCAAGTGATTCTTCTTCGTGCGCAACAAAAATATCCATGATTTTCTCGTGAGAAATCAAAAATGAAGGTAAGAAAATCTACTTCCTCCAAGTGTATCTACCCGTCCATGGGAGCACAATACGTCAGAGTGTACCACTCCAACTTGTTGTCTCCTCCGTCTAGAGCTTTCAAAAATGAGATGACGATTGTTGCCTTCCAAATAATAAATCACAAGTGGTTTAATTTTTACATTAATGGCTAATGGTAATGAGGGACTTCTATAGACCAATACACTTCAACCTTTCTCACTAACGTTGCGCCAGCCGCCTAAGAGCACAAATTGCGTGAAGCATCATCTGGCAACTGTCTTTCAGTTGTCCCGCATATTATTGCATTTGTCTTATATAGGAGAACATAATTTTCCTCCTCGCCACCACCAAAGAGCCCTTTGGTGAGGTTCCAGATTACGCACCTGTATGGATGTAGATGAGTCCTCCATTGTCCAGTACGCTCACAAGAATAACAGGGTTTTCTTTCTGCTGTGGTCTGTGTGTGCTAGTAAATGAGCGTTGCCGTCATGCCTCCTTTTATAGCAGTTTAGTGCAATGAGTACGTGTATTTAATCATTCACGTTCTTTATACTTTGTCACAGAAAAATTTCCTAACTTTTTCTTTTCTTCCTTTTGTTCAAATACCATTTTCCCTTTTTTTTTTATATTTGTGTTTTGGGTCCCACTTGAAAGTGGGGCACCACCCACACCATCCCTTCCCCCTGGCGACACTCAGTGAGGACGTTAGCCATCAATATCCCTGAGGTAGCTAAGGCTGACAGTATTCGACTTCTCCGTTTGACAAGAAAACATAAACAATTTCATCAAACATAGAATGATCATTTTTCTCTTTATGGATCTTTCTTAAAGGGCTGGTAACAACTTCAATCTCAACACATCCGCTTAACTATAAAGTGTTTTTGATCTTGAATGGAAGGAGGATTCTTTATCCCAAGGTGAATTGGCTTTTCCAAGGTGAATTGCGCTTTGACTGTCACAAAATATCTGATATCATTCTTGATGAATTTCGAGTTCATTCAAGAATTTCTTCATCCATAGCAACTGCTTGCACGCTTCAGTAATCTTGACTGCCACGACACGGCTCCCCCTACAAATGTGATTGGATATCTTGAAAATCCATTTCACTGTAGTCCAATGTTCCTTTCCCGGATTTGAAAGAAACCGACTAACAACACCAACAGCATGAGTAATGTCCAGTCTTGTGCATACTATGGCGTACATTAAGCTGCCAATGGTGGATGCATAAGGAATCTTCTTCAGTTCTTCTTTTTCTTTCTCACTTGAAGGACATTGACTGAGACTTAATTTGAAATGTCCTGCAAGTGGGGTACGAACTGGTTTCGCATTGCTCATGTTGAATCTGCTGAGAATTTTCTCTATGTACTTCTCTTGAGACAGCCACAACTTTCTCTTTTTCCAGTCTCTGGAGATCTTCTAAGACTTGCTCTTCTTCTTCTTCTTGTTCTGATTCTGATTTCTGGCATTCCTCTCCTGTGCATCAATCCTGTAGAATCTCCTGGTGTTATCAATAAGCACATCATTGTGGATCTTCACAAGTTGTATCTGCACGATCGTCATTCTCGTGGAATAACTGGGTCTACGGCTCCGGATCATAAAAACTTTCTTTCAAAACTGGGTCCACTCCACAACCGTACAAACTCTTCGATCTCCATACCAACAAAGTGCAAGGGAACTGCTGTTGTCAGCTTTGAATTTGCTTTTCCTTTGGGAACATGAGTAAATGCTCTTGAGCCAAACAACCCTAGGTGAGAAGTCATGAAATATTATCTACCTTGTCAGACTTCTCCGAGGATATCAAAGTCCAATGTGAAGGTAGTCGGTTGATTAGTAGACAGTAGTTAATGTGACAGCATTCTCCCCAAAATGGGCATTAGGTAAGTTGGCCATATTTAGAGCATGGACTGGACCTCTTAATATGGTGCGTTCATCGATTCAGCAACAGCCGTTGTGTTTGCAAAGCGCGTACCAGGGAACGTCTTTTTCTATGCCTGTAGTACCATGTGGCTACTTAACAATATCTCTAAGGCTCATTAGAGAATAACTCACCCCCATGTTACCTGCGCAAACACTTCAAAGACCACTCCACGTCTCCCTTCCACCAAGCATGGAATTTGCTGACGAGCTTGAAATACTTGTCTTTTGTGAACGCAACAAATAATATCCATGTTCCGTGAGAAAATCATCAATGAAGGTAAGGAAAATACCTACTCCTCCAAGGTGATTCTACCGCGGGGTAGTCCATGGGACCGACATACGTCAAGAGATGTACAGAACTCCAACTTGGTGTGTCTCTCCTGTCTACTTTTCAAAAATTGAGACCGATTGTTGCGTTTCCAGATTTACCAATGGTTTACCTTCCACTGTTATGGAGGCTACGTCGAAAGGACAAAAACTAAATAATTCTTCTCTAAAATTAGTAGGTACAAAGAGATTACAAAAAATAGTGGCACTATTGTTTAACAAAACACCCAAATAAATCCTCACTATTTTCTCTTTTCCAATTTCTAGTATGGAAACCTTTCTAAATTAATAATCTTCTTTTTTTTTTTTGTTTTGCTTTTTGTGACCGTCTCTTGAAGTGAAATCCTTCTCCTTTTTACTAGGAGAGGGACGCAAGTGGACGCTGTTATCAAAAACGCGCCATTTTTTCTTTTTTTTTTTTTTTTTTCTTTTCTTTATTTGGAACCGTCCCTTTGAATAACAAAATGACCGTAACTTTTTTTTTTTTCTTTGTTCTGCAGTCCTCTTTTGACTGCCACCAAACAAAAACGTGTTTTATATTATTTTTTTTTCTTTCAAATAAAACAAAAACGTGTTTTATATTTTTTTTTCTTTTCAAATGTGTGTGGGTCCCACATGTCGGAGGGACCCCACAACAGTCCTGAAGGTTCAAAAGAAAATCAACAAGATCATCTTCTTTGCCCTCAAAATTGTTTCTACCTGATCTCTTATTTCCTCTATGTTCATTAAGCATGATGTCCGTTTCTTGATGCAACTTCTCCAAATTACTCCTCATCCCAGTTATTCTATGAAGAAATTTAATAGAAGGGAAAGCATCAGCAGCACTAAAACCTTCTAACACTTGCATAATTTTCTGCACAAGTGGCAAGAAAGCTTCGTGGCATTCCGAAACCTTACCAAATGCAGACCTTAAAGCAATAGCGTTAGATAAAGAAAACACCATCTTACTAATATTAACTTCAGATAAACTGGGAATTGATCTAATAAAATTTGATACCTTCTCTTCTCGGATTGTTCTAAATGATCTTACCCATTTTGTGCTTAATAGCTCAAGCATACAAATTTTATGCATCTCTCACCAACTATCGACGTGAGGGGCAAAAGCAATGTCTTTGAAGTTATACATGGGAATCTCCGCCGCAAGGAGAAAAGGCCTTTGGGAGAAGATGATGTCATGGGTTTTCATAACTTTTTGGCAGCTTCAGGCGAAGAAATGACAATATTGGAAACTTGGCCGAGCTTCAGATGCATTACAAGGCCGTATTTGTTTGATAAATTTCTTAAGCGATGATGAGGGAGAGAGCCGAGGAGCTGATGAATGTTTCCTATTATTGGTAGCTTCCGTGGCCCTGGAGCTAATTTTTTGGAGGAGTTTTTGGGTTTTCTTTGTAGAATAAAGATAAATAAGAGGAAAGTGACAAGGCTGAGAAAATATATAATTGTTGCAGGTACTCCATTGTAGAGAGACTGTGTTTTTGTTAACACATAAAAGATCAGTGAAACAAAGCAAAAAGACAAACCAACAAAAAAAATAAAAAAAAAAAAAGAAAAAAAATTTACTACAAGAGAATGAAAGAAGAAAATTACTCTCTCTCACGTTTTCAAATTGAAAAAAGTTATGTGGGTAACGAGTAAAGAAATATTGAAGAATATGAATTGTAACTAATTCTATTGCTATCATGAAGGTACAGTATATATACAGCAGCAGTGGCCTTATAAACCTCAACAAACTAAACAAATCCTAACTGATAACAAATAAATAACAAATTTATAAAAAGCCTAGAATGAAGGACGAATCATAGCCTAGAATGAAGGAAACAATTCAATATAAAGATATGAATTCTAGGATTTCTATTATTACACCCCCCTCCAAGTTTGTTAGAAGTGGCCACACTGAATAACTCTTGGTAAGAAGCATTATCGAAGGCACGACGCGGCAAAGGCTTTAGTGAGCAAGTTGCAACCCTGATCAGCCAGCACTGAAGATGACAAACATAATTGTCTTGGGCTTGAACTTTTGGTCAGAACAAAAGTGAAAATCAATAAGCAATATGCGTTCATTTTGCTACTGAAAAACATGGATTTTCCACAAAGAAGGTTAGCTACACCATATTAATCAAAAGAAGATAAAGG